GGCAGTTGTCGACGACCACCGATTAAGTAAAGACGTGCCTAATCAAAACGTGCTAAACGACGCAACGACGAGACGACGATCACACTAATTTCATTATTTAAAATACACACCTTGTTCTTAAATTAACTTAAAATATAATATCATTAAATATACATTATCTTTAAATAAATAAAACCCCACATTTGGGAGCTCGCCGGGAATAACCTGAAAAACAGTAAAAGTGCGACGTGGGAAAGTGAACTAAATACGACTCTGTAAAAATCAAATTTTTTTTTCTTCTTGAGCATGGCATGCCTTAACGATTTAATTTCTACTAACTTGAAAAATGCAACTAAAGAAAGTATTGGCGCATTGCATAAGTTTGTGTTTGAAAAAGAAGGAGACAGAAGCAATCGCAAACGTCTACGCGAATTTCAAGGTTTTCGGTACAATGAAAATGACGCGATTTATAAGGCAAAATGTGTATACATACATACAAAACTGAGTGACAGAGACCTCATATCAATATGTACAGTTTTGGGCATAAGCTATGATGTTGCAAATACGCAGCTGCACATTTTTCGCAATTTGCAGTTCGGCCAACTACTCGCCGGAAACGAAGTGGAAGATTCAGAGAGTGAGGAATCTGATCAAGAGAAGGACGACGAAGAAGGCATTCAGAGTGATGAGAGCTTAATTTCAACAACCGCGCATTCAAATCCAGCGAAAGAAAGATCGCAAAAGTCTATTTCGCAACGAAGCAAAGAATTCGAAGAGATGCCACGATTTTCTCTCAGTTTTCGCGATATAGAGGAGTCAATTAAACAATTTGATGGAAGTGATGAAATTCCAATTGAGGTGTGGATTAGCGATTTTGAAGACCAAGCTTTATTGATGGGTTGGAACGCTTTACAGAAACTCATTTTTGCCAAAAAATCACTCAAAGGTGTCGCAAAGTTATTTGTGTCCAGCGAAAAAGGATTAAATTCGTGGAGTGCATTAAAAGAGTCTTTGTTAAGTGTGTTCAAGTCGAGAGTCAGCAGCAAGCAAATACATATGCAACTTGGTAATTGCAAACGACGCGCGAACGAAAATGTACACGAATATTTTTACCGCATGAAAGATATAGCATCGCGAGGAAATGTGGAAGAAGAAGCTCTAATTCAATATGTAATAGACGGCATTGATGAAATTTCTACAAACAAGTCAATTCTTTATGGTGCTAAAAATATATCTGAATTTAAATACAAGTTGAAGGACTACCAAACCATAAGTGGTAAAACGAAATTTACGGAAGGAAGTGTTAAAGAGAAGAAAGCTCAAGCAGTGCCAAAGTAGTTCAAAGAGTGTCAGAAAAGAAATCGTTTGCTACAATTGTGGTGAGAAAGGACATCTTTCTAGTGGATGCAGCAATAAAGAGAAAGGCAGAAAGTGTTTTAAATGTAATAAATTTGGACACATTTCTAAAAGCTGTCCACAAGCAGAAAAAGCAGTTGAAGAAAGCAGGCTAAACACTCGAGTTTTGAAAGAGCACAGCGATATGACGAGCAAAGCAGTCTCAATTAAAAATCTGAATTGTATTGCGCTGTTTGATACAGGCAGCAAATTTAACATTTTGCGTGAAGACTTATACAAGCAGTTAGCTTTGCCAAAGTTGAAAGAGTGCAGTGTATATCTAATTGGATTTGGAAAAAATCGCAATGCCAATAAGATCAAGCCGATCGGACAATGTAAGCAAGTAGTGCAAATTGACAGCAATGCCTATGATTTAAACTTTTTCATAGTCCCGGTCGATTGTATGGACACTCGACTCATTATAGGCGAAGATCTGTGCTTGCAAGCAGAAATCTCATTCAGTCCAAGTGGTTTACGTGTGCGAAAGTTGAACAGTGTTGACGAAGAAGAACTAAATGCAAATTTAATGAAAATTGAAGCAGTGTTTGACAATGAAGAGCTCGATATAAACAAATCAGCCAGTGAGTGTGCTAGGCATGAAGTGCGTGAACTAATTTCGAAGTATAGCCCTCAAAAAACCAAGTCAACAAAAATTGAAATGAAAATAATTTTAAACGATGAAACTCCAATTTTTTCGCGTCCGCGCAGATTTGCATTCGCTGAAACAAATATAATCGACGAACAAATCGAAGAGTCCGACTCTGAATTTACAAGTCCGGTAGTACTTGCAAAGAAAAACGACGGTTCTCAACGACTTTGCGTGGATTTCAGGCGTATAAACAAGGTAATCGTAAAAGATCATTATTCATTACCCCTGATTGACGACCAGCTTGATCGCTTGCAAGAAGCTACGATGTTCAGCACGATTGATTTGAAGAATGGTTTTTTCCATGTGCCTGTAGCCGAGTCCAGCAAAAAATATACCTCATTCGTGACACAAAGCGGGCAGTACCAGTTCCTAAAGGTGCCCTTTGGTTTGTCAAACTCACCTGGAGTGTTTCAGAGGCACATAAATGCAATTTTCCGAACACTTACCCGCAGAGGAATCGCTCTACCTTACGTAGACGACATTATTGTACCAGCAACAGACGAAAAAGAAGCAGTTTTAAATATCAAAGAAGTTATTGGAACATGCAGCGAATATGGCCTAGAACTCAACCTAAAGAAATGTCATTTCCTGCAGACCCGTATTCAGTTTTTAGGTCACATCATTGAAAATAAAACTATTTCTCCGACTCCTCAGAAGATTGATGCCGTTTTGAAATTTTAGATTCCGCAGAACCTCAAGCAGTTAGAAAGTTTTCTCGGTCTAACCGGATATTTTAGAAAATTTATTCATAATTATGCACTTGTTTCAAAACCATTGACTGATTTAACGAAAAATAAAGTTAATTTTGTAATTGGTCCTAATGAAGAGTATGCGATCGATTGCCTAAAGAAATACTTGACTTCTACCCCTGTTTTGGCTATTTACAACTCGAAGTATGACACCGAGGTACATACTGATGCTTCTATAGATGGTTTTGGCGCCATACTTATGCAAAAATCTCCAGATGACGGCCAATTCCACGCAGTGTACTATATGAGTAGGAAAACTACAGATGCTCAGCGAAAATATTCAAGTTACGAGTTAGAGGTGTTGGCGATTATCGAAGCCATAACCAAGTTCAGAGTTTATCTTACTGAGTACAAAGTAGAGCACCGTTCAGGCTCGCGTATGAAACACGTTGATGCCCTTTCCAGGTATCCAATCATGACAATCATCGACGACTCTATAGCCCTTGGTTTTAAGCAAGCTCAGAAAAATGATGAACACCTAAAGTCAATCTATAAAATTATAAAAGATTCAAACTTACCTTATGAAGAGTATTTCCTGAAGTCTGGTATCTTGTACAAACTCGTAAAAGACTTGGAATTGCTTGTAGTTCCTAAAGACATGCAGAAACAGATCATTGCCAGAGCACATGACCGTGGACACTTTGCTTTTAAGAAGACAAAGGAGCTAATTTGCAACGAGTATTTTATTGAAAACATAGAAGAAAAAATTCAGAAATATATCAACTGCTGCATTCCGTGCATTTTAAACAACCGCAAGCGAGGCAAACAGGAGGGTTGGTTGCATCCATTGCAGAAAAAAGATGTTCCGTTGCACACTTATCACATTGACTTCTTAGGTCCACTAGAGTCGACAAACAAGAACTACAAGCACATACTCGCTGTTATCGACTCTTTTACAAAGTTTTGCTGGCTTTATCCTACAAAGTCAACGACTGCCATCGAAGTCATAACCAAATTAAGAGCACAAAGTAATGTTTTTGGCAACCCAGCTTGTATTATATCTGACCGAGGTTCAGCTTTTACCTCCCAAGACTATATTAAGTATTGCGAAGAAGAAAACATGAAGGTAGTAAAATCAACGACAGGTCTACCACGTGTAAACGGACAAGTAGAAAGACTAAATGCCATCATTATTCCAGTACTTTCTAAATTGAGTGTGGATGATCCCACAAAATGGTACAGACACGTCGATCGAGTTCAACAAGCCATCAACTCCACTTATTCGAGAAGTATTGACGCCACTCCTTTTGAGCTTCTCATCGGAGTCAAAATGAGAAACAAAGATGACCAGCAGCTTCGCGAGCTAATCAACAACGAATCCATAGCGCTGTTTAAGGACACGCGCAACGACCTTCGAGTTAAAGCAAAAACTCAAATTTTGAAACTCCAAGCTGAAAATAAAAAGACGTACAACCTGCGACGTAAGCCTGCAAAGATCTACAACATGGGCGACTTAGTAGCTATAAAAAGAACACAATTTGGAGGCGGTCTTAAACTAAAGCCGAAGTATTTAGGTCCTTACGAAATAACAAAAGTAAAGCACAATAATGCCTACGATGTCCAAAAAATTGGCAACTCAGATGGACCAAAGATTTCCTCAACTTGTGCAGAATTTCTAAAGCCTTGGCCAACACACGAAGACAGCGACGAAACATTCGAGGCGAATGTTTAGTCAGAATGGCCGAATGTGGGAGTGATTTCGTACGAGTCTCCCTTTATTACGCATCACTATTCCAAAAGACGCCCTAGACAACGAAAGGAGCAACACCAAGCAAAGACGGTCAAACGGTAAAAAGACGCATTCCAGAGTAAGACGAGGCGATGGAAAAGAAGACGACGATCACTACGACGAGAAGACGAACGACGAGGAGAGCGCCGACAGCCCAAAGGACGAGAGGCAGTTGTCGACGACCACCGATTAAGTAAAGACGTGCCTAATCAAAACGTGCTAAACGACGCAACGACGAGACGACGATCACACTAATTTCATTATTTAAAATACACACCTTGTTCTTAAATTAACTTAAAATATAATATCATTAAATATACATTATCTTTAAATAAATAAAACCCCACATTTATGCACATTTTTTCCCACCTGATGGCCTGGTGCTTGCGTTACCAAAGCTTGATCCAAATTTTCCATCATCCTGCAACTCCTCTCCAAAAACGACTCCATAGCAGTCCATGAAGATAACCCAGCGATTGGCAAATCCTCTTCCCATTTTTCACGAGTCCGTTGATCCAGCTTGTAAACGACGATATGAATCAGTAATCCATCCAAAATTTGCTGTGTAGTGGCCAGCGTATGGATTGCCCGAAGATGTGCGTTCATAGAATAACTGAGCTCACGAAGACCTTTGGCAGATCCCTTCTCGACACTTTTAAAACCAAATATTGCCTGAACGTGTGCCTGAACATGTAAAACTTTATTATCAAATCGATTTATGAGCAGATTCAAAGCCTTTTTATCATTTGAAGGTTCGAGCGAGCGTATGGTCTCCAGAGCCACGCCGCCTAGACAAGACCGTAAATATTGCAGCTTTTCAATGTCGCTTAGCTCGTCATCATTTCCAATGACCACGGTGAACGTTGCGAGAAAATCCGGCCACTCAGCATAAGATCCATGAAAACGAGCAATCTCCAGGTTGGGTAATCGAGGCTTCCGTGTCCGAAAAGAAAGATCAGAATGGTGGTTGATGTCTATAGATGTGGAGTTGGCAGCTATGCTACCCGACAATTGCAATTTGCGCTGGGCCGCTAAGTCTCTATTGAGCTTCGCCTTCACATCCATAAAAACCTCCGAAAATTCCCATCGCCTATCACTCGAAGTCTCCTTTAAATCCAGCCGTTCCAGCGATGTCTGTGTGGAGTCAAATGTCGAATTTAAGGAATTGACCCAGTCCAATCGCGCGAGAAGATCAGCTTCATCCAACTGATCTATAGACTCAGCTGTTAAATACAATTTCATCGCGTTTGTTTGCCGCAGAATTGATTGCATTTTGGCGCGTAAAAATTCTATTTCATTTGGCGCGTCATTTTGAGGCCGAACCGCGTTTTCTGGAGCAGCCATTTCTTAGTCGCACACCAAAAAAATAAAAGAAAAATGTCCGAACCGAAAACGCAACGGAACTTTGTTGTTGTTGTTCCGCCTTATAACAGCGGACTTGAAATTATGCATATGTATGCACTGCACTATGCACTTTTAGAATAGTTAGATGTTATTCTCCTTTTGTTTATAATTTGCAGCACAACACTGTTTTAATTTTTTCACAACGCGAAATGTACGAAAAGATCAACCGCCTGCCAGCTTTTCACAGCGCGAAATGTAAAACTTAAACGGCCAGCTGTGTGCGCTTGTATGTAAGTCCGTGTGTTTGTGACCGAGTGCCCACAAACGACAGCAAAACCAAAATATATTGTTTAAACGATATTAACCAATAATAAAACCGAGTTGCAGACGGCAAATAAAACAGCGATCTCGTCGGGGTCATCAACTTGTTTGGGGGAAGACAACAAAAATGCCACCCTTAGGTTATGTAATAATAACGCTTTTAATTTTATAAGTCTATGTACGTGTCGTGTTTATTCTGCCAGTCGAATCTGCACTGCTGCAGCCGAAAGCCTGGCTTCATATTTTAAATAGGGTTTTACAAATGTAGTCGCTAAATAGGTAGCGCGACAGCTTAGCGAGATAAGGTAAATATAAAGAGGAGAGCGCAAGAGCGCTACAGGTTCAGCCACACACCTATGCGCACTAGACTAAGCGCTGGCGGGCTGCTCCGAACAACCACTATATCCAAGGGTTTTGATTAAAAACCTGAAAAATCGAGGTGATTTTCTCCGGATTTGACATAAGGGTTGGGGGTCATGGTTTTTTTTCAAATAATTTTTTCAAATAAAATTTTGTTTTTTTTTAAATGCCACTTTGTTGGAAATTTTGTAACGAATTCAACGAGGTATGCCATTCGAACATTCAACCACTATATCCAAGGGTTTTGATTAAAAACCTGAAAAATCGAGGTGATTTTCTCCGGTTTTGAGCCTTGTCATAAGGGTGGGGGTCATGCCTTTTTTTCGAAAAAATTTTTCAAATGAAATTTTATTTTCTTAAATGCCACTTTGTCGGAAATTTTGTAACGAATTCAACGAGGTATGCAATTCGAACATTCAACCACTATATCCAAGGGTTTTGATTAAAAACCTGAAAAATCAAGGTGATTTTCTTCGGATTTGAGCCTTGTCATAAGGGTGGGGGTCATGGTTTTATTTCGAAAAATTTTTTCAAATGAAATTTTATTTTCTTAAATGCCACTTTGTTGGAAATTTTGTAACGAATTCAACGAGGTATGCAATTCGAACATTCGACCACTATATCCAAGGGTTTTGATTAAAAACCTGAAAAATCAAGGTGATTCTCTCCGGATTTGAGCCTTGTCATAAGAGTGGGGGTCATGGTTTTTTTAAAAATATTTTCAAATGAATTTTTTTTTCTAAATGCCACTTTGTTGGCAATTTTGTAACGAATTCAACGAGGTATGCCATTGCAACATTCGACCACTATTTCACCGGCTTTTGATTAAAAAATCGAAAAATCGAGTGATTTTCTTCGGATTTTGGCTTTGTCATAAAGGTGGCTCTCATCATTTTTTTCGAAAATTTTTTTAAATGATTTTTTTTTTCTAATTGCCACTTTGTTGGAAATTTTGTAACGAATTCAACGAGGTATGCTATTCGAACATTCGACCTCTGTATCCAAAAGTTTTTATTAAAATACCGAAAATCGAGGTGATTTTCTTTGGAAATTGGAGTTGTCATAAGGGTGGGGGTCATCATTTTTTTCGAAAAATTTGTTCAAATGATATTTTTTTCTGTAAATGTGACTTTGTTGGAAATTTTGTAACGAATTCAACGAGGTATGCCATTCCAACATTCGACCACTATTTCCCATCGAGCTGATATTATCCGGGCCTTGTCATAATGGGGTGGGAAACATGATTTCTTGTCGAAACAATTTGCTATTGATATTTTTGTTTCTGAAATGTCACTTTCTTGGGTATTTTGTAACGAATTCAACGAGGTATGCTGTTCCAACATTCGACCTCTATTTCCCAGGGTTTTGATTAAAAAACCGAAAAATCGAGGTGATTTTCTTCGGATTTGGGCTTTGTCATAAAAGAGGGGGTCATGTTTGTTTTTTCAAACAAATTTTTCAATTGATTTTTTTTTCTGTAATTGACACTTTGCTGGAAATTTTGTGACGAATTCAACGAGGTATGCCATTCCAACAACCGACCACTATTTCCCAGGGTTTTGATTAAAAACCTGAAAATCGAGGTGATTTTCTTCGGATTTGAGCCTTGTCATAAGAATAGGGGTCATGGTTTCTTTTTCGAACAATTTTTTCGAAGGATTTTTTTTTCTGTAAATTACACTTTGTTGGAAATTTTGTAACGAATTCAACGAGGTATGCCATTCGAACATTCGACCTCTATATCCAAGAGTTTTTATTAAAATACCGAAAATCGCGGTGATTTTCATCGGATCTTGGCGTTGTCATAAGAGTGGGGGTCATCATTTTTTTCCAAAAATTTTTACAAATGATATTTTATTTCTGTAAATGCGACTTTGTTGGAAATTTTGTAACTAATTCGAACATTCGACCTCTGTATCCAAGAGCTTTGATTGGGGGTCATCATTTTTTTTCCAAAAATTTGTTCAAATGATATTTTTTTTCTGTAAATGTGACTTTGTTAGAAATTTTGTAACGAATTCAACGAGGTATGCCATTCCAACATTCGACCACTATTTCCCTTGATTTTTTTTTCTGTAAATGACACTTTGTTGGAAATTTTGTAACGAATTCAACGAGGTATGCCATTCGAACATTCGACCTCTATATCCAAGAGTTTTTATTAAAATACCGAAAATCGCGGTGATTTTCATCGGATCTTGGCGTTGTCATAAGGGTGGGGGTCATCATTTTTTTCCAAAAATTTTTACAAATGATATTTTATTTCTGTAAATGCGACTTTGTTGGAAATTTTGTAACTAATTCGAACATTCGACCTCTGTATCCAAGAGCTTTGATTGGGGGTCATCATTTTTTTTCCAAAAATTTGTTCAAATGATATTTTTTTTCTGTAAATGTGACTTTGTTAGAAATTTTGTAACGAATTCAACGAGGTATGCCATTCCAACATTCGACCACTATTTCCCTTGTCATAAGGGTGGGGGTCATAATTATACCCGTTACTCGTAGAGTAAAAGGGTATATTGTATTCGTGCAAAAGTATGTAACAGCTAGAAGGAAGCGTTTCCGACCCTATAAAGTAAATATATTCTTGATCAGGATCACTAGCCGAGTCGGTTTAGCCATGTCCGTCTGTCCGTCTGTCTGTCCGTCTGTCCGTCTGTCTGTCCGTATGAACGCTGAGATCTCGGAAACTATAAAAGCTAGAAGATTGGCATTTTGCATGTAGATTTTAGGAGTTCCTACGCAGCGCAAGTTTGTTTCAAAAAGGTGCCACGCCCCCTTTAACGCCCACAATCGCTTAAAAACGATTTTAAAAATTTAAATATTTCGGAAAAGTAAAAATGCAGTTTTATTGTGTTTATCAATACCTATCGAAATTTTGAAGAAATTTTTCAAATCGGACCATTCGTTAAAAAGTTATGCGTGATCAAAGTTTCTATCTCCATCTCCCTCGCACTCCCTTTACCTGAGTAACGGGTATCTGATAGTCGGGGCACCCGACTATAGCGTTCTCTCTTGTTTTTTTTCTAAAATTTTTTTCAAATGAACATTTTTTTTTCTAATTGCCACTTTGTTGGAAATATTGTAACGAATTCAACGAGGTATGCCATTCGAACATTCGACCTCTATCTCCCAGGGTTTTGATTAAAAAACCGAAAAATCAAGGTGATTTTCTTCGGATTTTGGCTTTGTCATAAAAGTGGGGGTCATGTTTGTTTTTTCAAACAAATTTTTCAATTGATTTTTTTTTCTGTAATTGACACTTTGTTGGAAATTTTGTAACGAATTCAACGAGGTATGCCATTCGACCACTATATCCAAGGGTTTTGATTAAAAACATGAAAAATCGATGTGATTTTCTTCGGATTTTGGCTTTTTCATAAAGTTGGGGGTCATTGTTTTTTTTCGAAAAAATTTTGAAATGAAATTTTATTTTTTTAAATGCCACTTTGTTGGAAATTTTGTAATGAATTCAACGAGGTATGCCATTAGAACATTCGATCACTATTTTCAAGGGTTTTGATTAAAAAACTTGAAAAATCGAGGTGATTTTCTGCGGATTTGGGCCTTGTCATAAAGGTGGGGGTCATGGTTTTTTTTTGAAAAATTTTACAAATGATATTTTATTTTTTTAAATGCCACTTTGTTGGAACATTCGAACATTCGACCACTATATCCAAGGATTTTGATTAAAAACCTGAAAAATCGAGGTGATTTTCTTCGGATTTGAGCCTTGTCATAAGGGTGGGGGTCATGGCTTTTTTTCGAAAAAATTTTCAAATGAAATTTTATTTTTTTATATGCCACTTTGTTGGAAATTTTGTAACGAATTCAACGAGGTATGCCATTTGAACATTCGACCACTATATCCAAGGGTTTCGGTTTTCGGATTGGAGGCTTGTCATAAAAGTGGGGGTCATTGTTTTTTTTTTCCGAAAACATTTTTTGAATGAGCCTTGTCATAAGGGTGGGAGCATGGTTTTTTTTCGAAAACTTTTTCGAATGATATTTTTTTCTGTAAATGACACTTTGTTGGAAATTTTGTAACAAATTCAACGAGGTATGCCATTCCAACATTCGACCACTATTTCCCAGAGTTTTTATTAAAAAACTCAAAAATCAAGGTGATTTTCTTCGGATTTTGGCTTTGTCATAAGGGTGGCGGTCATGTTTATTTTTTCGAAAAATTTTTCAAATGAAATTTTATTTTTTTA